CTGGCTCTGTCCTCCCCTAGGGCCTGGCGTCCATTTGTATCCCACAGTAAAAGGGGAAAGGACATGGAGGAGAACATGTGAGAGATTTTATCTCTCCAGGTGGAAAGCAATATTTTGCACTTGTTCTGGGAAAACCCGATTGTTTTGCCAGACACATCAGCTCTGATGGCCTCATGCCACTGTCAAATGAAGTTTCCCAACACAATACCCTGCCAGGTTCCAGGGCTAATAGATCACCAATGCAGGGGAAGCCAAGTTTAGGTAGACATCTCTGTTCTTACTGTGAGTACACAGTAAGCACACAAATTTTAATATTTACATTCTTTTTTCTTTCGCTTTTTAATGAACCACTTCTGATCAACTGATCTATTTTCGTGCATTGAAACATAATGACAGCAATGACAATGACATATTTAACAGCAAAAGCAGTAACATGCAAATGATGTGGAAGTGCCTTAGCCAGGAGGAATGGCATCCTGGTAAGTAGCATTTATTGAGACAAATTGAGTGAGAAGACAATTTAAGCATATAACAATTCATCACAATCATCAAGCAACTGTCAATGGTCAAACAGTCTGCAAGCAGCAGCATGGTGCCATCTGCTAAATTGTCTCGCCACACTTAGATTCAGCCCATCGGAGCCCAAAATAGATTTAGACACTTTATTATTTATTGTACATAGCAAAAGAAAGGTCAGCATGGTATCAGCTCCCTGTGTCCCCTAGTCCCACAGGATGACACCAAACAGGAGGTGTGAGATGACAGATGACAGGAACCAAGTCACTCTGTTGTTGAGAAGCAGGGCAGGGTCAGCACTTGCAGAAATTTGAGAGTAAGTGCCCTCTTAAGTTTTAAATTTTATGGAAGTTTGCAGCTATATCTAAGGGGCGGGGGTGGGGTGGGGGGACTTTCAGTTCAAAGCAGAAAGTTCTGCATTCAACTGAAATGAAGGAGATAGATGAGAAATGACCTGTGTCTGACTCCTCCAAGGTAAAGATGAGAAACTCCCTAAAAACGGCTCCACGTCATCCCGATCTCCCCTTGCTCCAGGAGGAGTTTCAGGCCAGTCAGAGCTGTTATGCTTTGCCTACACGGGCTTCGTGGAGGCATCCAAACTTGCTACGATGCCATGGCAGAGTTCTCCTAGAGATCAATATCTGAAATAAGAAGACAAAGTTGAATTTACTGCTTCCTATTATAAGGGCGAGTGATGCTGGTCATGCGCAGTCTCTCTAAGCAGAGCAAACTGTGGATCTTACATCGAGTGTTTGGGCAAGGTGGAATTCAGGGACTGGTGAACTTTCAGAGACGTTAAAGGTTGATGACCTGTAAGAAGCTGGTTGTTGTTTATTATTGGCACCCAGAGGCATTGGCACTGGGCTGGTAGAAGTGAGGTCTGTCCTTGACACATTGGATCCCTTCTGACTGCTACTTGTTTCCAAGGCTTCAAGGTATTTAGCACTTTCACAGGAGCTGGAACCTGTTTTTATTTCCAAAGAGTAAAAGAATATCTATGAAAATAGTCCGTAATCATTGTTAAAATTTGTGGAGCACCAGTGAACAAACTCATTCCATTGTTTTTTTTTCCTCTGAAACAGACTGCCTTCTGACCACTCTGCAGACTGTGGAGGCCACCAGAAGTCAATCACATCTACAGAAACCTGGGTCCGACCTGAACTTTTAGAGGGAAGGGTTTGGGCCTTGTTTATCTTTAGTCTCTTGCTTAGGCCTAGCACATAATAGGTGCACAATTCGTGGATGAATGGAGTATTAGAAGTCACAATCCTAAGGAATGGTAGAAGAAGAAAAAAGTGGAGGACTGGGCAGAAAAGAAATTCAGGTTTCACTAGGTTGCCATATGACTGTTCTGTAAATATTGTTCATGTTAGTAGAAGAAATGCACGATGCGTGTATTTTATATTCCAGCTTTGTGTCATATCACGGAATTGTGAGGACCCCATATATCTGTCCCTGTTAAGGATCATGAAGATGAAAATTGTGATGACGGCAGCTCAACAACAGCGAACTCAGAATGTGTCCAGAGAAGCCACCAGTCCCTCTGGGCCAGGGGGCTGCAAAACTCGACTTGCTGGCAATTCTATCCATTTTCCACCGTCCTCCTTGATCTGCTTTGTAATGGGAGCAGGTAGGGAGCCAATAAATACAAAGAGACGACGGGCGTTTGCAGAACGCGGAGCTCGAATCCGGGGAAAGGAGAAGGGCTTGCGACGTAGGATGCATCCTGGCAAGCGGCCGGGGGGTGGGAGGCGGCGCGGGGCTCCCATTGGCCCAGCGGGCGCCCCTCCTCGCGGGGGCTGGACGGGTGCGCAGGGAAAAGTGGCATCGCTCCGCCGGGGTAGGCGGAGGCGACTTCAGCGACCGCGGAAACATGGCCGAGTATACGCGGTTACAGAACTGCCTGGCGCTGATTCGCCTCCGAAACCCGCCGGTCAACGCGATCAGGTAACGGGCTCGGTCGCCTCCAGCCTCGGGACAGCGGGGTCTTACCCGCCTGCTCGGAAGGCGTTGACTCTCCCCAGCTGGTTTAAACGGAGAAAGACACTGACTCAAATTGAACGAGGGCGTTTGCCAGGGCCTTTTACATAGGCCAGCGTGGTTACTCTTCGCGGAGAACTTTCATGCCCATTTCGCTGGGGAGGAAACCGAGGCTGAAAGGCAGACAGATGGCTACGAAGCGGGGGAGCTGGACACGAACCCGGTCTACCCATGCCAACTTCGTGCTGAACCCTTGTGCTTGCTTGCAATTTTTACTTCTGTGGCGCATTTTGTATTCCAAAGGTCCTAGTGCAATGCTGGCTGGACCTTAATCCCTCCCTTTCCAACATGGAGTCTAAGCAACCCTTACACATGTGACTAAAAGCTTTAGGAATCTAGGACAGTGTGGCTTCACATTTTTAAAAATCAGTAAAGGTCCCCGTTGCCAACGCAGTGAGTAAAAGAGAATTGTGCTCTGGCCCAGAAAAATGCAGTTATATCTCCTGATCTGTTTCAACTTCAAAGCCTTAGTGCTTCAGTGGACGAGCCATGTCAGCGTAAGCCTATTAAATACCATTTTCTGAAAAACTACTGTGCACTTTATCTTCTTTTATTTCATCGTGGAATACCTTTCTTGTTAAACTCTCTTCCCCGTATTTGTGCAATGCACTTACAGCATTACTTTTAAAACTGAGATTAATGCTGGTTTTTGACAATTAATGAAGTTATTATATAAGTTTGGCTATCCCATACCGCTGAAAAAAGTATACGGTCCATCAGCCTAGGAAAGAGCCACCTATCCACAGGGAGTAAAATGAGTAGAAGTTATAATTTGCAATGAATATATAAAGTATAGAAAGAGAGAACTTTGGTTAAAATTCTTATCACATGCTGCTGGAGAGAAAAAAAAAAAAAGGCTGCAATGAGACCTGCTAATTTTAACTGAATTTTTATCCTATCATCAGATTTGATTTTATCATTTGTATTAATATTATAATTCTTATTTTTAATAAGAACTATTACATTTAATAATACAAAAGAATTGCAGGAATAAAATCACACAAAGATGATCACTTACTTGCCATTCTCAGAAAAAAGTAAAATATTCGTTATTTTGGTTTTGATGAAGAAAAACAAGTAATATAATTACATATCAATTTTGGATTTGTCTATATTCTCATTAGAATTATTAGATATTAGGACCATCTGCCTCAACCTCTGCCCATAATGGGAAACCACGTTCATCAAGAACTTGAGAGGAAAAGTTCTTCAGTCTCCTACCCGTAACTAGGGATATTTTCTTATAATTATTTTTTAATGTTTATAGTATTTAAGCCACCCCCCACTTGCCTTGCAGGAGAAATGTTACTATCTGTTGTACCTCATAAAAGTTGTGAAGTTTAAATGCTGGAGATTATAAACTGGCATTTAATAGATGTTAGCTATCATTATTTCTGTTAAGCAGAGGCCTGTTACAAGCCCCTACCACAGGCCCAGCTGCTCAGGATTCATTTCAGATTTATTAAAATTTCCCTGACTTGGGAATAAATACTTTCCTGCCCTTTTTTCTATCTGCTTCTGAAGTTCTGTTTCAGGTAGAGGCGTACATCCCACCACGTTCATTCAGTTTAACAGGTTCCCGATTTTTTTTTTCTTTGTACTTTTCTTTTTCTCCTCCTTCCTTTTCTGTGTACTATTTCTAATTTTATGTGGAAAATTATCTCTTCCTAACTCACTAAGAGATTCTTATTTGAATAATTTGGGGGCCCAAACAAATAATTTAAACCCTTTGCTAGTTTAGCCAGCCATGTTTCCTTCAATTCAGATGAATGCCAACCCTCTTTACAAATGTAGGACATGCCTGATTACAAGGCCTATCTCCCAACACAATGGCTTTCACACTTTTTTAATTGTAATTTCACATGATATGAAAGCCCATGTTTTACATAGCAACCTAAGACACACACACACGTACAAATATATAACCAAAAACTAAGTTTCATGAAACAAAACTTATTTTTACTTGTTATATAGTTTGATATATTCTATTGTCTCCTCTCTTCTATTTCTTTGTTAAAAAAATACTGGTCACAAGCCACAAACTTGGTTTGATGACATTCAGTTAGAAAGAAAAACTGTCACAAAAAAACCCCTATAGTCACAGAAGCTAAAGAGTTTTCGTCAGTACTCATGAACTGTTATCTTTATTCTAAACTCATTTCTTCATACCTGACAATATTAAGGGGACAAAATAATTTCTTAACTTCTGTGACCTTGACATTGCTACCAGGCTGTGGCCCCTTTCACTCAACTTGAATTTGGTAAAGCTATATCTGTTACAGCCCTTTTCATTTTTCCTCATTTCCTGTGTTTTATGTAGGCAAAATTAACAAGAACATAAGAAATAGAGCAGAGGTTAGGTGAAATGGGAAAAGCCACCCTCCTCCTCAGTGGCACTGATTAAGCTCATTTTGGCTAATTTTTTACCCAGAAGGAAATATGTGCCTTTTGGACTTCTCAGTATTATAGATGATTCAGAATCTGTTTTTTGTTAGCATATTTCTAATTAACCAGTCGAAGACAAGAGCTTTTGTTTCAATTTCATCTGGGTTAAATGATGAAAAGCAATAAGGTGAAGGGAATTATCATATACAATGGCAAGTATCTTCCTTTTTCCATCAGGTTTTAATTCATAGTTGCTGGTCTGAACAATCTAGCTTTTATAGAAGTTTGTTGTTTTTTTTTCATTTGTATTAATATATTTTTTCACTCTATATGTTGAAGAACAGACATTGTACCCAGAATACTCAGAATTCCAAGGCAAAACTAATTAGACTCTGGTTCTATCATTTTTCTTTTAAGCAATTCTTCACCACTTTTCCTAGGTTCTCCTTAACCATTCCTTGGATTTATGGATCCTCTGCTTCTTGGCAAATTTTCCTCTCTTGTCCTTTGTGACTTTGGCCTTTCTTGGTGCTGAAGCACTCTGCTGAACCTCTCCCACCTCTTAAATGAGGGTGTATCCAGAAGATCTACTCTCAGCTCTCTTTCCTTTCCCTTTGGCAAACTCATTCAATCTTGGCTTTAACCATCTTCTCTATCAATGACTCCCTCATCTACTGAAAGTTTGCAAAATCTACTTATATGCTCTTTCTTTCCCAGACCTTGTCTTTACCTCCTAAATAGGTTTGGCTATTGAGGCAGAAAACTCAAAATAATAGTGGATTAGACAAGAAAAAGTTGATTTCTCTCACAGCAGCATCCTGGAATGGTATGGCTGCTTCACCATCATCAGGGACCCCAACTGCATCTATCTTTTGCTCTGCCATCCTCAATACATGGTTTCATCTCTTGGTCCATGAAGGCTGCTCCCTATCTAATGATCACATCTGCATTTCTGCCAGGAGTAGGGAAGAAAGAAAAACAAAAAAGCATACCCAGCCCTTTAAGGACTCTCCCCAAAAGTTGTATATGGCTGATCATATTGCAGAGCAAGCTGGGAAATGTAGTCTTTATTTTGGGCAGTTATGTGTCCAGCTAAAAACCCGATGTTTAATACATTCAAAAAGGTGGGGAGGGAGGGTTATTTGGGGTAATTTGGAGCCCCTGCCATATCACTGTTTCTTTTAGAGTATTTCAATTTTCTTATATTTTAACAATATGACAAATTGAAAGTAATTTCTTCCCACTCTGAACTTCCACAATTTTTTTTTAGTCTATTAAATCACTCATCTTAGTGTGATATTTTGTTATGTATATTTTGTTCTCCCTAGGATATTACAAACTCCTTTCAATGTACCTAGAAGATCTATAACATTGGGTTGTCGGAAAAGTCATGATGTATTTTGTCTGTGTTTTTCAAAGGTCATTTATTTATATAAAGAACAAAGATCAATCAATGATA